TAGAGGATCGATAAGAGGCGGTGGCAGCAGCGGTGGGGGAGGGACGAGTGAGCCCCATGTGCGGTGGTTTGTGGGTGGACCGCTAGGCGTGGGCTCCAAGTGAGATTTGGCAGTCAGACGAGTGGCGATGGAGCCAAGTGAGTCCTTTGGATTGATCTCGAGAAGTTCAAAGGGGCAGCGATTGCCGTTTGACTCGCGCAGATCAGCGTGCTGCCGCGTTTCCCCCCCCCCCCCAAAAAAAAAAAAAAAATAATAATAAAGGTAGAGGAAGGAAGGAAGAAGAGTGGAGGACGAGGAGGAAACTGGAAGCGGGCGATCTTGCTCACGTTCCCCGTCGACCTCACATCAAAAGGACGGAGGACGGCGGCAGTGGTGGGGGTTGTGAGCAAGTGATGGGGCGACGGGGATAGAGTTGCGATCGCATGCGGTGGACGACACGTGTGTGTAGAGCACGATCGGCCTTGGATGTCTGTCTGTGTGTGTCGGTGTGTGTGGCAAGCAGACGGTGGCGTTCTCTTGCGTTTTGATCACGCGCCAGACACGGGTGAGGGCTCGCAACCATGCTACAGGGTGCATCTTTCCCCTTCCTTCAAATGGCGGCTTGCCGACCCTGATAAAGCGATCAAATCCATCTGCCCGGGTCCGATCTGGTCCGATCTGGTCTCGTCTGGATGGTCTGCTGGTCTGTCTGTCCCGCCCCCGTATGTGTGTGTGTGTGTGTGTGTGTGTGTGTGTGTGTGTGTGTGTGTGTGTGTGTGTGTGTGTGTGTGTGTGTGTGTGTGTGTGTGTGTGTGTGTGTGTGTGTGTGTGTGTGTGTGTGTGTGTGTGTGTGTGTGTGTGTGTGTGTGCACGTGTGCAGACAGGCGCGTGAACGGGCGCCATCTGTAAATCGGGCAGTGGCAAGGGGTGGGATCGCGGGCCAAGGCCGGGTGGTAGGTAGCCATTGGGGTGATCATCTGGTATGTTTGCTCAAGATCGCCAGTCGTCCAGAAGCCCGGCTGGCATATTGCCCGACTGCCGCTGCCCTTGTTGCTGCCGTTGGCCGTTTGGGGTTGGGTTTGATCATTGAGGTGTGGTGCCATTGATGTTCATGTGTGGTTCATTAACTTTAGATCTCTTATGTGTGACGTCGTTCAAGTGTGGTGCGAGCGTCCTTGAAGTGTGGCTGGTACCTTGAACGGCTCTTTTTGCTTTTGTTCTTGGGTGCATGCACACCTTTTCTGCTTGCGATGACTTTTTTCTCTGTTTTTGATCTGCTCTCGCAAAATGTCTCTTGAGCTCCGCGACCTGACTTGCGTTATCTCTTTCCACATTTCCATTCTTTTTAAATTCTCTGATTTAGCATGACTTTTACATCAAGTCAACAGGCAGTCCGAACCATCTCTCTGATCCCAATGCCAGATCATTATCATTCTCTAAAATTCACCCAAACATACCTTTACGTCTCTTCACAACTCCCCCAACCTTATACGCTCTCTCTCTCTCTGTGCTCTCTCTGTGCTCCCTCTCTCTGTGCGCGCGCTCGCTCATTCTCTCGTTCTCACCGACACACACCACAACACTGCTGGCTCTGCCCTTTACGGCTCCATCCGGCTGCATCCCGGCCGTGATCTCGGCCGGCCACCCCT